TAGTTGACCAATAAGATTATGTCTGAAATTGGAATTCAGATAGCAAATTAGGGTATCTGAAATTGGAATTCCAATTTTAGTTAACTGATCTTCAGATCTCAATTTCAGACACCCAAAAAGTATCTGAATTCCAATTTCAGACGGAAATTAATTTCAGTCATAACACCGATATAAAAAATTAATTTATAGTTTATTTTTGATATCAATAAAAATATTAAAAAATAAGATCATCTACATCATACTAGTGAGCACAATAATTATAGATATAGTGTAACTTCCATTATTTGCTTTTGTATGTTCCGAATCTCCTATACTCTCAATTCTTAAATTGAGATGAGCAGCCGGATGAGAAAGCCAACAATGCATTAGTTTCAATATAACCTTTAGCAGCATATGTATAGTATCGATCGGAGGGAAAGATTATCACAAATGTTAATAATAAAATATACATTATGAAGTAGATTCCAAAAAGGCATTCTTCATATCAAAAATTCCCACATAATCATATCAAAGCCATACACATTTTAGGTTTTAGTATATGCCTTTGAAAACTTCTGGTGCAATATATATTAAATCTCATTATCGTCTGCATCTGATGATGCAGTTGATGATTTGCTTAATTTTAAATCACCTGTTCCATAATTAGTAAAAATGTTTCCACTGTGTTAATCACGGTGAATAATATCCAAATTATATAAAATTGTTCTAACTAATTTCCAAAAAAGTTTAAAAAAATGCTTAGTTTATGCAACGTGTCATATCTGATTCATAATATGAAATAATTATCATAAAATCTTGTGTAATGTGATCTTGGATAATTCCATAATATTCATTAATAAATGAACTGACATAAACTAAAGATGCTTCATAATATAATTTAAACTGAAATTAAAAAATCTTTCAAATATTTTATCTTATGTTTATATTTATGATCAAATTTAAAATTAAATACAGAACTACCTCATTTAATTTTTTAGAACTGATGTTTTTAGAATTGTTAACCAAATACCAATTTTTGAATATAGTTGCTTTATATATTTTGCTAAATCCACCTTTGGTAATAAATTCCAAGTCTTTGAATCTATCATATAGAACAAATTCTATTTTTCAATGACTTTATTTTATTACAGGTAAGATGGAAAATTGTAGAGTCGATTGAGTATTGTATTGTATATAATGTTGAGTATGACTTTTTATACTTAATTGCTAGGAGTTATCATTAATATAGGTAGGTTAGGTCTATTAGTATAACAAAAATATACTCAAAATTATTTCACGTGATACATTACATTTCTGTATCTCTCCTTTATTACTGCTTGATATGAGCATTGCATTGGCTTTATAGAAAATACGACAAATTGAATAACTTAAAAAGTATAAATAAAATTTACTTGATTTTAATTAGTAAACTAGAATGGTAATTTGGAGGTTATGTTGAATTTATTTAATTAAAGATTGTCCATTCTTTTTTGTAAGTCTTGATAATAATAGGTTTATACCGACCAAAAAATGTATTACTTGTAAGTATATGGGAGGCAGTCAGTAGAAAAGGAGGAAATCTAAATTTTGGTCAAAATTTATATTATTAGACCACTTGGCTAATCTCAATCATATGCACAAATTTTGCTTAATAATAAAAATTAACAAAAATTTTGGATTTCCCCTTTTTCTACTGACTGCCTCCCATATGTTTAATACTTTACAAGGTAGGTTATTGTTTATTATCAATCATTAAAATTTTTAAAAATTTTTTGAGATGATTTAATAATGTTAATTTCACATAACATTTTCTGCAGTTTGGCCTTTATTTAGAAAATTTATTTTAATATATAATTGTTTTTTATAAATTTATACTGCATTTAAGTAAAAAAATTCACGTAACATTACTTGTTAAATAATCTTTAATCGTTGTAATTATCAATTTGTCATCTGTATGAGGAATCAAAGAAAAAATAAAAATAAATAATTGATTAAGTGTCTTAAAAATGTTTTTATATTAACAAGAAAAAACTTTTATATAATCATTATTGCAAATCTTATTTTAAGGTTTCTGAAAGACCGCATATATATGAACAATGAATACAGTTGCTTGATGAAACTTCAGGGTATTGACAATTGTCGAAAGTTAAAACTTATTTAGACGTTTTGGCTTTTTATTTTTAAAAGTCATAACTGTCAAAAGGTTTAGACAATGTTATAATTATTATTTATAATTTAAACATTAAAGTAATATTTATTAAGCAATATTATTTATTCTTTATTTGATAGTTAAATATTTTATATTTTATAAATCTCTATCTTGGATCCATTCAGTTATTCCATATGGGATAAATGTTTCCATTTGACATTTCTGTATTAAATCATTATGTAAATTGATTTAACTTCTTTAATTAAAATTTCTAATGTAAGGGCATAAAATAAGCTTAAAATTGGCTTAAAAAAATTAATCATAATTTTTTTTAGACTATTTCTAACAAATAATTAGCATTAGTTAAGATTTATATGAAATTTTGTGAACTGTTATGCTACAAAATTTAAATTTATAATTCATCGGGAAATGGCGTATATTTTACCGAGTACCTTTTACCCTGAAATATTCCACTCAAATATATTAATTATTATAGTTGCGAGATGAAATCATAATAGGCTAATGTTAAAAGTCAAAACTAAAACTGTCAAAAGTCTAAACGTTTTGATAGGTTTTGACAGATTTAAATAGGCATCGAAACATCTAAACTTAGTCAAAAACTCGGACCAATCATAATCAGTCATTCGTGTTCATCATTTCAAATAAAAATTTTTTTTGGGAAATTTGTTGTTTTTTGTGAAAAAAATAAAACCTTTATTTTATTTAACTTTTGTATAGATGAAAAATTACTTAAAAACCTATCCCATCCTAGGATTCCGATGGGTTTTAGCAACTACAAAGAGAGAGGTAAGTAAAAGGATAATTTTTTTTATAATATTTTTAAAAATAAAAAAAATATTGCTTATCTCTGATTCTCATTACACCAGGATTCCAGAGTTCCGAAGACTTCGGCAACCTACAAAAAAGTATTATATTTTTTTAATTTAATTATTTTTAAAAAAAAATAAAATAAAATACTAACCTTCAATTTATTCCACAGTTCTGGAGTGGGCTTTTCGGGCATCTACAAAAGGAGGTAAGATTATTATTTTTTTTAATAATACTAAAAAAACAATATATACTTACCTCCAATTCATTTAATCCAGAATTCCAAGATTCAGAAGGCTTCGGCACTTACAAAGATAGGTAAGTGTAAGAATTAGTTTTATTAATTTAACTATTTAAAAAAAAAATTTAAAATACTAACCTTTGATTTATTCTAGGATTCCGGAGTGGATTTTTGGCATTTACAAAAGGAGGTAAGTAAAATTATTAATTTTTTTTTAATAATTTAAAAAATAATACTTACCCCCGATTCATTTAATCTAGGATTTCAGGATCCAGAGGACTTCGGCAACCTACAAAGAGAGGTAAGTGCAAGTATTAATTTTTTAAATTTAATTATTTAGAAAAAATAATTAAAATACTAACCTTCGATTTATTTCAGGATTCCGGAGGTGATTTTTGGCATTTACAAAAGGAGGTAAGTAAAATTATTAATTTTTTTTTAATAATTTAAAAAACAATACTTACCTCCGATTCATTTAATTCAGGATTCTAGGATCCAGAGGGCTTCGGCAACTTACAAAGAGAAGTAAATACAAGAATTAATTTTTTTAATTTATTTTAAAAAAAATAATTAAAAAACTAACCTACTTTCGATTTATTTCAGGATTTTGGAGTGGACTTTCGGCATCCACAAAAAGTGGTAAGTAAAATATTATTATTTTTTTTTAAATAATAAAAAACATTATATTTACCTCAATTATTCAATCTAGAATTCTGGAGGGGTTTCGATAAATTTTTATTTATTATAATAGTATTATTATTATAATTATAATTTTATTATAATTGTAATTTTATTATTTTTTTTATATATATAGTAAATAAAAGAGTGGTCAACTGTTTGCATATATTTATAGTAAATAAATAAAAAAATAATCAACACGATAACATTTCATATAAATTTATTTGATAATTATTAAACACTGATCATTTCTTTTTTATCATTCGTTATTGTTTAATTTTGAATAATTTTTTTATAAATAAAAATTTCATGTCTTACAAAAATGTTGGAGGAAGACCATTAGAATCAGTGTGAAGTCATTTTACACGTGTTGATAAAAAAGTAAAAGGCAAATACAAAGCAAAGTGTAGTTATTGTGACAAAAATTGGGAGCGTGAAGAACCTTGTGAATTAGAAAATCATTTGGCTAATCATTGTTCTACAGCACCAAATGAAGTTATTCGTGAATATCTCACTAAAGTACTTTTACGTAATACTGATAAGGATGGATTCAATAACAAAAATAATAAAAGAAAACTCTCAAATTCTTCAGGTCAAAAATTATTAGATGATTTTGCAGGCAGTTCTTTAGAAACAGGAAAAAGTGAAAAAATTAATCAAGCATGGGCTAAAGCATTTACTATTTGTGGAATTCCTTGGCATGTTATTGAAAATCCTTTTTTTATTAAAGCTTTAAAAGAGATGAATCCTTTATATAAACAACCAACTTGTGAATTTCTTTCTGATCATATATTTAAACAACAATTGGCAAAAGTAAATAATAAAGTTAATCATATTCTTAATGAACAAAAAAATTTAACACTTGGTATATAATTTTAGATTTAAATATTGAATATATTTAATTTTATAATTAAATTTTAATAATTATTATTTAATATTTTAGTTTCAAATGGTTGGAGTAGTGGAAAAAATCATTTTTATTGTAATTTTATTATTATAACACCTGAACGCAAAGAATATTTATATCAATTATGTGATTTTTCTGATGAATTACATACAGGAGAATTCATTGCAGATCAAATATCAAGTGTTTTATAAGCAGTTGGACCTAATTGATTTTCAGTAATTATTAGTAATAATGGTGTTAATGTTAAACTTGCACGTAATAAAATTAGTTTATTTTATTGTTAATAGCAGTTCTTTAATGTTTATGGGTTATAAACGGAGTTTTAAGGTAAGCAGAAGGTTTGTGTTTTATTATTTTTACTAATTTAATATAATA